TTTTAGCCAGCATACAATGAGATCAGCCTGGTTTTTGTCTTCCGTTTTATCAGGGAAATTGCGGAAGCCAATATTGCAGTGTCTACTGTGATTTTCAAGGTCTGCTAGTTTAATTCTTGCTTCCATGCTTTCTCTTTCTTGGCAGCTATCCGTATCAGCTGATTTATTTTTCAGACATGTGTTTTCCTCTCGGAGTTGCTCTATTTGTTTTAGTTGGATCTGCTTTTCCTTTTCTAGAGTGGAGATGGTGCCAATGAAGGTCTCCACTTTGGAGGTCAGGTCGCTGATTTTTGTCTTCAGGGGAGTCACTGTTTTCTTCAATAGTTCTGCCAGTCTCAGTTCCATTTACTTCAGGTCCCTTTTTGTTGTTGGGCAGTTGTCATCATGGGGGGACGTTGCGACCACTTAGGCATTCGCCATCTCCTTGGTTGAAGAGAGGGACTTTTCTTTTATTTTTCACTTTTTATGTTTTATTTCATTTTATATACAGTCTTTACAACAGAAGACTTTACAACCCAAATAAACCAAAATACAAGCAAGAACATGACTCACATGTTTTAATTTGTACCATATTCTTCTCAGATTTCCTTATTTTACTGTTCATTAATATTAGTCTCCTTCTTTTGACTCCTTGTTCTTGACCTCTTAAATCACATATACCGGCATATCTTTAACAATTTTCCAAATACTGCCCTATACTTCCCTCCCCCCATGCTCGTAACTTCCCTTCACCCATGTGCGATCTTCTCTATATAATATTGATTCTCGTTGTGTTGACAGAAGTTTGTATTTGTTGTTCCATATATGTTATGCTGTTGGGACACGGGTGGCACTGTGGTCTAAACCACTGAGCCTAGGGCTTGCCGATCGGAAGGTCGGCGGTTCGAATTTTCATGTGCTGCTCCGGTTTCGCCAGAAGCGACTTAGTCATGCTGGCCACATGACCTGGAAAAACTGTCTGTGGACAAACGTTGGCTCCCTGGGCCAGTAAAGCGAGATCAGCGTCGCAACCCCAGAGTCGTTCACGACTGGACTTAACTGTCAGGGGTCCTTTAGCTTTACCTTTTTATATGTTATGCTATCGTCTTATATCCTTGCACACTTTAACTATTACTATTGCATATTAAATTTGAGCGCCAAAACCAAATCTTTTCATATATTCCTTTATGGGGCTTTTCTGTGGTGTTGCTCCAATCAGTGGTGTGTGGTGAAATTGTCCTTAGGGGAACAGTTAGGGTCAGAGGTGCCAGCTTGCGAGGGTAACTGTGGGGAGGACACTGTGTATGTGAGCATTGTGCCTTCCTCCATAAGCCAGACAGATGTTTCCCAGGCTTTGGGAAGGTAGCAGAAGAGATCTTGGACCTGTTGGAGCATCGTGCCTCCCTCCCTAAGCCAGGCAGAAACTTTCCAGGCTTTGGGAAGGAGGTGCCAGGGGAACATTTAGGGGACTAGCTTATTCCACTGACCGCACACCACTGACTCCAATTTTGGAAAACACTCTGCAGGGAGGCTTTACTTTTTGGCACTGGGTGTTAAAATTAGCCAGGCCTTTTAAATTGGTTTGATGACCCTCCCCGCTCCTCTTACATCCCAAGAACTTTGATTTCTGTCTTAGCCTATGCAAATAAATACATGTGCACAAATGTTGAGACAGCAATAGCACATAGTCTATCCATTCACAGCTGGTGAGGTTCATTTTATTTGTTAATACAGTACAGTGTAAGATGCTTATGTTTTTTCTTATTTTTTAAAGCCAAAGGCGTTCGCTCTCAAAGAATTCTCCTTCATGTTAGCAGACACTGACCTAAAGGGATGGGTGGATAAAATCTTAAGCCATTGAGAATCTTTCAGTTTGCTTATAGGGTCCGTCTCTCACACCAGTTTCAAAGTAGTAAGTGAATAGAACTGGGATTATATCAGTAGGGGATATATCACACAGACCCTGCCTTTCTGGGTGCTTGCTAAAGTTAGATGTTCATAAAGTGTCATGACTCTGTGGCTACCCCATGCCAATCTCTACCTGAATCTTTCAAGTGTTCCAGGAGTTGTGGTTCTGTAAGTGGCACATTGTTTTCATAACAGTCTTGCAGGCGATGGAGCCCTGCTTTGGAAAGAGTAGTAGATACTGATAAGTTATCTTGAAATTGTGGTATATAAGGAAGCAGGATTTAGGGTGAGGCAGCTCGTTTCTTATACCATCTGCTCCACACCTATATAGTACCACCTGTTCTTTATTGGAAAATAGAAAAAAAAATACCTTGTATAAAATTATAAGTGCACAAGGTAAAATAAGACATGAAAAGAATAACAATTGTTAAGACACCTGTGTAAAAAAGAAAGAAAAAAGGGGTTGGGGGAACTTACAAATTTGCAATGTTATTCTTGTACTTAACCTAATATCAACTCTCAGAACACTTAACAAACTAGTCCCCAGGATTCTTTGGTGGAAGCCATGATTGTTTAAAGTGGTGTGGTTATAAACTTTGTTGAAAAAGTTAAAAACAGTTATCAAGCATAGAGTGTTGTCTTCCAGGACAAATACATGCACAGATGTTAAGTATTGTGTGCAGTCATCCACATTGCATCAAAACAGACTTGGAAAATCTTTTACATTACAGATTAAGCTCACATCCACAGGGTATACTTCCGTCTAGAGAGTTAAGATAATTTCTCCATGGTGACAGAGATGGAAGGGAGATTACTATTATTAATAAATGATATAATTAAATACATTTCCCAGGATTCTTCAGGGGAAGCCAGGGCAGTTAAAAGTGGTATAACACTGCTTAAAATGATGGGGACCTTAAATGTGAAAAAAAAACCCAACCCTGGTCTATTATGTATTTTTTTTATATATTTATGTGGTGCCTTTCTGCTTAGGTACCAAAGGCAGTTCACAATTGTAAAACACTAAAACAAAAAAACAAAAAATCCTATAAAATGGAGAGTGGCCAAAGTCTCCCAGGTCAACTGAAAGCTGATGGTAGGTTCTTCCTCCCCTGGGCTTCATCACTTCTGCCTTCCCTCATGTCACACAGGTCTTAAGTAGCCCCAGGGAATAGTACTGGTGCCCAGGTAGCTCCCTCAGACCATTGGTGGTCCTTACAAGGAGCTGACGGCATGTGCTTCTTGGCCTGAGCTTCCTCAGAGCTAAATCATCTTGAGTACTAAAAAAAAGAAAAAGTGGTATCTTCACAAACAGGAAGACAAGTTTGAGGGGAAATATGTGACCCATGCACATGACATGAGGAACCAAGTTAAAATGGATTGTAACGAAAGGCCCTCAGGCTACTCAATCCTCAAACAAGTGACGCCCAAGATTTGGTGACTCCTTCTTTCCGGCCTACACCTTGCGAAACAAAATTCCCCCACATATTCTTTTAGTCTGGTTTTAGCTAGGGCTTTTTTTTTTTTCAGCCGGAACTGAGTTCCAGCACCTCTCAGGTGGGCACCATTGCCATTCTAAGAGAATGAGGGAGGTGTTCATGGTGAGTTCTCACACCTCTCTCTCTTTTTTGTTTTTTTTAGAAAAATAGCACTGGTTTTAGCCATTAGCCATAACCAGTGCTTTTTCTGTGACCAGTACTCACTGGGACCGAGTCGCCTACTGCTTTTGCTGCCCATGTCAGCTATGTTGTGTTGACACCTGTAATGCTTTTATCAAGATATGAGCCCTGGCGCCTCATTATTATTATTATTTAACCAGAAAGGCACTTGCCATAGCAATATACTGCTGCACTCTCCCAGAGTTAGGAAGCTTCTGCTTTTGATTAGCCACATTTATCCGTGTCGTCCAGACATGCAAATTATGGTTAGGTGCAAAGGACTCTTCCTTCTCCTTAATTAAACCTTTGATCCACCCACTGCTGTTTACACCGAGGGGCAAATGCTCTCCTGGAGATGGCAGGAATTAAACTTTCACATGCGAAGCATGTGCACAGTCCTCCTTATGAACATTGTAAAACAAGCCAGCTTCAGTAGCTATGGTTTCAAGTCGACTTGTTTGAAAGTAATCATAGTCAGGGATTTTTCATCCAGAACTCACCAGAACTCATTTCTGGCACTTCTTTTTCTAGAAAAATATCGCTGATCGTAGTTAATGTTAACTGTAGTCTAGACATCATCATTATCAGCCATCGTAGTAGTAGTGTTCTTCTTTCATAGTTCAATCTGAAATAAAAAAGGCCTCCCAGAGCAGTTTGCATCTATCAGTGATGAGGCAGTCCCTGCCCTGAGGCTTGTAATCTAAGATACATGGCACACAAGGAAAGGTGGGGAGGAGGGGAATAGCAAGTACAGAAAACGAGTTCAGGCACTAGTTCGTAGCAACAGATGTCTTGTTGCAACCAGCTGGAATGGAGAGATTTGAAGAGGAGGAGCCAAACATTGCTGACCGGTTGAAGGGTAGGCTCTGCCGTTCCATCTCTTCCTCTCCTGTAGCCTGATGGAATGAGTGCCATTGGCAGATGACAACTGAGGGAAGGGTCTAATGAAGATGGTCTCTTAGCAGAGCTGATGGAGGTGCCATGCAGCCCTAATCTGAAAAAAACTGTAGTTAAGCAAAAGCCCTTTTATGTACAGGAACTGATCTTTGGAACAGAAGTGTGATTTCTACATAGGCAGCTGCCCAAATTTTCAGAGTGTGTCAAATAGCTAGAGCAGCGGTTCCCATCTGGTGGTCCATGGATCCCATTCACATAACAAAAACTACAATAGGAATATCAAAAGTTTCAAAAGTAGGGAGTCTGCAGTATTTAGCTAATTGGGAACCACTGATCTAGAGCATCTTTGACAGATGTTCATTTGACTTTTATATATATATATAAAAGTTTCTCAGACAAAGCTGGACATGAGCATGTCAGTCTGTATCCTGTTGACAGAGCAACCCAGCGGTAACAGTAACTTCTGCTCCTCCATAATAACTCACAGAGCCAATTGTAACTTCAGGTTTTCTCTCTTTTTTGCATGTTGCTGGGTGATTCCTACACAAAGGTGTGTTACTGCCAGCTCCTCGGAACATCACGATCCTGTCCACTAATATGAAGCACTTTCTAGTATGGAGCCCGGTGATGGTGCCTGGAGCAGCTGTAAAATATTCCGTCGAGTTTCAAGGGTAACTTTTCTTCACATTGAGTCTAAACATGGAGTAACTATCACTGCTGACCTTTCTTTCTTTTTTAGGCTAGTATGTAAAGGACAAGACAGAAGAGTCTTAAATTATGCATGGTGTGAGGAAATGGATAATTAAAACACGGGGTTGAGATCATCCAATTAAGCTGAAGGGAACTTATTCACACCGTTCAATATTAAACTATGGTGTCCAAAATATATAGTTGATGATTTTAAAAGGGTAATAATAATAATAATAATAATAATAATAATAATAATAATTTTTTTATTTATACTCCGCCCTTTCCGGTTCAAAAACCAGGCTCAGGGCGGCTAACAACAAATTTAAAACACTTTAAAACACTTAATTATAAAAGCAGCATAAAATACGTTATAAAAACATGAATAGCAATAAAAATAAAAAATGAATCACATCCCCATTAGGCAAATTCTGTTGCTAGTCATGATGGCAGAATGCCTCTGAATATCAGATGCTGGGGGACAACAGTGGGAGAGCCCTATTGCCCTCCTGCCCTGGTTGTGGGCTTCCTGTAGGCATAAGGTTAGCCACTGTTAGGAGTAAGAACCTAGACTGGATAGGCCTTTGGTCTGACCCAGCAGGAATCTTTTTACCCAATCCAATGCAAGCTGTTGAGGGCCTATCCTGCTCCTTTGGCTGAGCTCTTGCAAAATTTCCTCACAGTCTGCAACACGTAGTAGGGCCTAGGCCCAACCCACACATTCAGCCGAATAATGTGGTAAATATCCTGAGGTGGTCAAGTTGACTCTATTGCTGTGTACACACGACCAACTTGAAAACACAGCCACATCATTCTTTTTCTCAATAAGGATCTAAATTGGTTTCTTTTGGGGGTGGGGAATGCATCAAAATGCATTATTTCATAAGAAACAACAGGATAGATTTGGATTGTGGCTGTTGTGGTGTGTACTCTGGTTCCTAAGTGGGAATGTACTGAATGCAGAGTGTATGGGGTTGTGCACACAGCCTATGGTTCCAGACTATAAATGAGGTGCCTTTGAATGTTCCCAAGCGTTAAAAACAAAACAAAACTCCTGCAAGTGAGAAAAAAGTAGAACATTGCAGAGAGAGGTTCTAGCCCAGCTTGCTCCCTGTTCCAGGTTTCTGCTTGCATAGTAGCATTCAAAAATGTTATTACCCACTTCCAGTTTGGAGCAATATAACCCTTTCTATCCCCACATAACCCTAATGTGACATTCTGATGCATGTCTTTGGGCCCAAGCCATAGTTATTAAGTGGCGTTGCAGTAAACTAGCCCATGTGAGAAGGTTGGAAAGAATTGTATCTGCTACCAGACATGTCTGCCCTTGTGGGACTATTCACGTTGCAACACATGTGTGTGAGGGTTCCTAACAAATATTCTTTAAAAAGTGCACAGAATATTTGCTTCGGGGTGGGGCGGGTCACCCTCAAGTGTAATTACAGTGAGTAATTTGTACTCTGCTTTGATCTCAGTCTTCTATAACTCAACTGAGTAACACACTGCATACAGAAGGCCCCAGGTTCAATCCCCGTCATTTCCAGGTTTCTTCCTGGAGAGCCGCCACCAATAAGCATCAACATTATTGAGTGAAGTAGGTCAGTGGCCCAATCCACTGCTTCAGTTGGCGGAATTGGCAATACTACATACAGGTGCCACATAATACCTGTTCTTCATTTGTAAGAACTCAATTGTTTAGTGTGGCAGCGCCTACAGAACTCTCTGCCTATTGATATCAAACAGATGCCTTCGCTGTACTATTTTCGGTACCTGCTAAAAACATTCATGTTTAGACAGGCCTACCCAGATGCTTAGAAGGTTGAGGAAATTTTAATATCTGTTTTAGTAGGTTAACTTCTGCATGTTTTAAAGCAGAGTCGTAATCTTTTCTCGATTTCACTGTTTCAGCGTTTGTAAACCGCTTTGAGGAGGTTTTCTTTACAATCAAGCAGTGTACAAATTTTATGTAACAAATAAGTAAGAACCACTGCCTTCAGCAAAGCGTGTTGCATTCTTTCCCCTAATTTTTCTTCTGCTTCTTCTTCCCCTCAGAGAATATGAGAGAGACTATGCCAACGATAGCTGGATTCCCATTGGAGAGTGTACGGGCATTAGTGTTACTCAGTGTGACATCACAGAAGACATTTCTGCCACTGTGCCGTACGATCTACGTGTCAGGGCAGGTGTGGGGACCCAGGCTTCGCACTGGGCCACTCTCAGCAGCTTCTTCAATCGTGTCACAAGTAAGTGCATTCACGTGCTCCTCTGTGATGCACATCTCACGCTGGGATCCTTAGGATAATGGTAGATGCTAATGATCCCATTGGGGGACCTTCTTCCTACTGAGGTCAGTCCTGGGTGTCAGCAAACTGGCACCATTGAGCAGCTTAGCCAGGACCCGAGCAGCTTCTCCTGGAAAAGAGGAGATTGGATAGCCATCTTCAAATATCTCAAGGACTGTCACATGGAAGAGGGAACAAGCTTGTTTTCTCCTGCTCTGGAGGGTAGGACTCAAACCAATGGCTTCAAGTTACAAAAAGGAGATTCCGACTAAACATCAGGAAAAGCTTTCTGACATTAAGAGCTGTTCAACAGTGGAATGGTTTCCCTCAGGAGGTGGTGGACTCTCCTTCCTTGGAGGTTTTCAAGCAGAGGTTGGATGGCCATCTGTCTTGGATGCTTTAGCTGAGATTCCTGCATTGCATGGGGTGGACTAGATGAGGCTTGGGGTCCCTTCCAACTCTACAATTCTTTGATTCTATAAACCTGCCAGGACCCCACTGAAGCAGACTCATGCCCTGCCCTCTCCTTCTTCAAAGCTGAGGAAGGCAGCTTTGAGTTGCAGTTTTAAATTTCTCACAATGCACTGGAGCACTCGATGTACATATAGCATCACTCCAGGGCACTTTGTGAAATCTGAATGGCAGCTCAGGTCTGCCTGCCACTGTCGGCAGGTAAGCTCTTGACTGAGTTGGGAAACCCAACAGCATTTTGCTGTGGGAAACTCCTCCCCACAAACTTGGTCCTGATTAAGGTGATAAAACTGTGTGTGTGTGAAACAATTGAACGTACACAGGTTGGGGCCTACATAGGGTGCCAACTTAGTTTAAATATTGGGGGAGGGGAGAGATAAGGGCTTTCCCGCATAATCAATCACATGATGCTGTGCATGCACACCATTTGACTGGCAATGCCCATCAACTTTAGGGCCCCCCACGACCCCCTCAAATATTTTATCGTGGTAGGCTGAACAGACCTCGGCCCCTAGGATTTGGCTCCTGTGGGTCTACATAATGGTGGGCTGCCTCACCGTTGGATCGAATGACTTGGGGATTTTCCTGCGCCTTTGGTAGTTAGGAGAATTACAGCAAGTGCAGTTCTCCCCAGTTCTCTGCTTTAATTTGATGGAATTTGCCAGGGTTGAGACGGAAAATCTGTTTTGAATCCCATGGCTCAGCCTTCCACAAATGTGAGGTCGTAATAAAAATGGGTTTGGAACAAGTGAGTTTCCGCCAGCACATTTAACCTAATAAACACACATCTGTCCATGGAGGCGCAGGTCAATTCTGTATCCAGGGCAGCTGTCTACCAGCTCCACCTGGTACGCAGGCTGAGACCCTACCTGCCCGCGGACTGTCTCACCAGAGGGGTGCATGCTCTAGTTATCTCCCGCTTGGACTACTGCAATGCACTCTACGTGGGGCTACCTTTGAAGGTGACCCAGAAACTACAACTAATCCAGAATGCGGCAGCTAGACTGGTGACTGGGGGCGGCCACCGAGACCACATAACACTGGTCTTGAAAGACCTACATTGGCTCCCAGTACGTTTCCGAGCACAATTCAAAGTGTTGGTGTTGACCTTTAAAGCCCTAAACGGCCTCGGCCCAGTACACCTGAAGGAGCATCTCCACCCCCATCGTTCTGCCCGGACGCTGAGGTCCAGCGCTGAGGGCCTTCTGGCAGTTCCCTCATTGCGAGAAGCAAAGCTACAGGGAACCAGGCAGAGGGCCTTCTCGGTAGTGGCGCCCACCCTGTGGAACGCCCTCCCATCAGATGTCAAAGTGATAAACAACTACCTGACATTCAGAAGACATCTTAAGGCAGCCCTGTTCAGGGAAGTTTTTAATGTATGACATATTAGTGTATTTTTGGTCTTTGTGGAAGCCGCCCACATTATTATTATTATTATTATTATTATTATTATTATTATTATCTAGAAGTATGGATTCCAGCTCAGAAAATGCGACTTCCAGACAAAGTTGTTCCCAAAATTTGACAGTTGATGCAGCATTTTTCAACTCTTACTTTTAGTTTTTTGCCCTAGCTGGAAAGGAAGCCAGGGCTTCCTTTTCTTTATCAGTTGATGTGTAGGAGTGAACTTCAAGAGTACAAGCTGGTCAGATGCTTCTGATTCTATCTGCCTGAATTACCATTCTCTATGCATTTCATAAAGGCACACTGTATTTTGGATGGTATAGTCTCCCTTCGAATCTAGACAGAACTGGTTTGTCCTTCTTCTGTAGCTATTGCTGGTACTATTACTGTAGATGACGCCTGCAGGCAAAACTGATAACTCAGCAGCCCAAGAAGCATTTCAAGTCTATGCAAGATTGCTAAATGCCTGGCCCTGATGGTGGAATCCAGTTTCCACTCCCAACTTCGCCCTGAGGGGTTTCTACTAGAAAAACAAGAAGGAATCGGAGAAAACAGATGACAGATTCAAGATGGTACCTAAAGATTTGTGCATCAGCATGAGAGCACCTCACAAACTCAGTACATCAGCACTGAAAATAAAGCTGTAAGCTTCTGCTCAAGTGGATCACTTTGGGCAATACTATACATTCCATTGACTGGGACCACAAATGAGATAACCACACTGAATGCAAATTTTACACAGAATGCACTGTAAGGACTAAAGCAGATGAAATGTTTGAGATTCATGAATGGATCTTCTCTTCTCTCTCTCTCTCTCTCTTTTAATCAGATCAACTGAAGTAGGGTAAGATTGAGTAGGACCACAGCATTGGGGTGGGGAGGGGAGATACTTAATGAGTATATGCCAAATACCCATCTGATCTCCTTTTAAGTTCAGAACATTTTGGAAATTCCAAATTAGGCTGGCAGCCTCCAATATGGTGTTCATGGGGACCTGCCAAGGTCCCTCTCTGCCCTCCATTATTTATATTGCAGGGTGTTGTTATTTAAACCAAGGTGATGCTGTGCCTGGCTACAAAGCATATGGTAAGCATCCAGAAATGCCATCTTACCTCCTTTTCCTCATAAAGCCCCTGTCCCGTCCCGTCTCCCCTGGCAGCTTTGCCTGCTTTTTTTCTGTTTGTTTCGGGTGTGTATATTTGTCTTTTTTCTTTTCTTTGGCATGGGAACTTTTGGAAGTTGCATTTTCCCCCTTAATGTCTGATTTTTGTTTTGGGATGTGTATTGGTATTGGGACTGAGGGGCTTTTTGAGGGGTGGGGTTCCTGAGCATTGACAGTTTTTGTTCTATGAAATGGGTATTTTGTGACTGCTCGCAACAGTTTCTTAGATTTCCAAATGTTCCCCCAGGCTCAGAAAAGGTTGGGGACCCCTGCTTTAGGCTGTTCCACAGCATATTGATCCTTGTTTCTCCTGAGCTGGGATGCAAGATTCATGTATGGTCCCATGATGGATATGATTCTGTCGTTTTCACAGCCTCCCTCATTCCACCTATGTTGACTGTCACAGCTGATGGATATCATTTGCTAGTGGAACTTGAGCGTCTAGGACCTGCCTTTGAATTCTGGATATATTACTGGAAGAAGGGCCAAGGGCACAAGGTACGTTTTGGTCTTATATCTGGCCTGAGAATGCAGGAACAAAAGAGAAGAAAGTTCTCTTGCATTACATGGACAAGATCAAATGCATTGATGAGGAACCTGTGGCCTTCCATATGTTATTGGACTTCCACCAGCCCTGGCCAGCATAGGCCATGATCAGAGATGTTGTAGACCATCAATGTCTGGAGGACCACAGGTTCCACATCCCTGGTCTAGAAGCTAGGTTAGGCTATCCTGAAGCTCTGCCAAAAACTCTGAACGTTATTATGATGGAGGAGCACAGAAAACGATCCACAAGGAGACTTCACTTTAGTCCTTCCTAATTCCATTTTTCTTCTTTCTATATACTGTTGCCTGATGGTGTATGCAATCTCTTTGATTCCTACTTGCTGTGATGCAAACATCCTAAGTGGGAACAGACTGTTTAAAAGATGGCCTTCTCCCAGTGAGTCTGCCTGGCCACAACAATAAACCGGAGGATCTGTTTTATATTTAATCACCATAGGAGGTCAGAATGGCTGTGGCGCAGGGTATGACCTTTTCAGTTGCGGAACCCAAGGTGCAGAAAGCTCAGGGATCTGCATGTCTTAAAAGACTCTTTATCAATAAGTTTAAAGATCAGCTTGCAAAAAGTGCAAGGGCCTGCACTGAGAGGCTTTCTCAGTTGCTCCTTCGCAGTGAAACAGAAATTAATGCAAGGACTTTGAAGCTGGCTCAGTAGTAGATGGGCAGCCAGTACATAGGTTTTAACAATGGTATCACATGTTGCCAGCCATGTGCCCCCATCAGCTGTCTGGCCAGTGCATTCTGCCCCAGCTGGAACTTCTGAACCAGGGCCAAGGGCAATGATCTCAATTAAAATCACCTTAACCACAGAGCCTAGGACTTGCTGATCAGAAGGTTGGCAGTTCGAATCCCCACTACGGGGTGAGGTCCCGTTGCTCGGTCCCTGCTCCAGCCAACCTAGCAGTTTGAAAGCACGTCAAAGTGCAAGTAGATAAATAGGTACCACTCCAGCGAGAAGGTAAACGGCGTTTCCGTGCGCTGCTCTGGTTCACCAGAAGCGGCTTAGTCCTGCTGGCCACATGACCCGGAAGCTGTACACCGGCTCCCTCGGCCAATAAAGTGAGATGAGCGTCGCAACCCCAGAGTCGGTCATGACTGGACCTAATGGTCAGGGGTCCCTTTACCTTTATGCCCTGCTGCAGTTAGCTTTAGAAAAAAAGTTCAATTTGGATTAAACCTTCCCTTCCCTACACTCTGCTATCCCGGTGAAAATTGCTTCATCCACTACCCTAGTATTACATTTTTTTAAAAGACATTGTTGCTATCTATGCAATTGAAGTAATGTCTAGTTTGGCAGCTGCTCAGCTTACCTACAAAGAAATCAGAAAACAATTTACTTGGTAGCTTTCAGAACCTTTGGCCCTTCCCTATACAAGGGAACCTGGGTTAATCTCTTATTTCATTTGTCTTGTACTATAATAATTTAACTTCCTACAACTCCCTAATCGCCCAGAATTTCTTACAACTGCCTAGAAATAAAAGGGGTGGGGAGTGGGGAGATCTAACTTGAATTTGCTTGCAGACATTCCTATTTATATTTCCCTGAGACGGTTTTTTAATGAGTGCCTCTGAAAGTATCTGAAAGCAAAATGTGAAAATAACCGGAAATTCAAAAAGCCAAATTTGCATTCTGAAATCTTGCAGAATTTTCAAATTTGTGAACAGTTTTTGTTTTGGCTCTAGTATTTGTGCACCTTGTCTTAGGCGTTTGGCTGCGTTACAGAAATGGGCTGTGGTGGTTCTTCTTGTTTAGCAATGGAGTTCATTAATATTTGGGTGTCAGAGTGGGTGACCAAACAGGATCTCATGCCAAAGCAAAGAACAGACCAGTTAATCAAATATAGGGGTGGGGAACCTGTGACTCTCCAGGTGTTGTTGGACTCCAACTCACCTCAGCCCAAATCAGGACGATCAATGAACAGGGATGATAGAAGTTGTAATGCAATAAAGTCTGGAGTAGGGATGGAGGAGAAATTCCATTCAGTATGCATTTAAAGCAGAATCTATCAAATTTGTGCATTCCAAAACAACATGTGAACAGAAACATAGATATCTTTCAAAATTTGCTCTTATCAGAATTTTCTGATGCTGTTCTCCAAATGATTTTTACAAAAATGCATATATTAGGTAAAAGTGTGCATAAAAACAAAGACACCAGTGAAAATAACATACAAAAATACATTATATTAGGGGGAAAGTGTTTGTACATTAGTTTGTGCTGCATATAAAATTGAGTTCAATAGGATAAATTTGTGCTTAAATGCTGAATTTTCATGAAGATTTTTTAAAATATAAAATGTGCATTTCAGACTGGCAAAATGAGAACCCAAGAGAACCAAAATTCACAGAACTTTCCGTCTCTAGTCTGGACAGCTATATCAGGCATCCCCAAGCTTTGGCCCTCCAGATGTTTTGGACTACAATTCCCATCATCCCTGACCACTGGTCCTGTTAGCTAGGGATCATGGGAGTTGTAGGCCAAAACATCTGGAGGGCCGCAGGTTGGGGATGCCTGAGCTATATGTTCCCATTACCTGATCAAATGCGACTGATTTCACCCTAGGTGTATCGCAAAGTGGTGAAAGACAGCAGCACTACCTTACATATGGACACTATGGAAGCTGGTACTGAATACTGTGTTAAAGCCCAGACCTATGTTGAAGCCATAAACCGGAGCAGCAATTTCAGCCAGGTGCAGTGTGTGAGGGCCGAAGGTAAGAACAACAAAGATACTCCCCTTTCCAGACATGGTTCTCCACTGCTGGGGGGCCAGGGCAGATAAATCTAATAAAAACTCGAACATTTGTGACACCTTTGTTGGGCTTACAGGGTCAAAAGTCTATATAAGGGCTTGCGTACCACTGTTCAGGGTTCTCCTCCCTCCCGCATGTGGTGAGTGGGGACCCTGTTGCAACAGTTCCTTGAATAAAGATCAGGCTTACTAGCCGCTTTGCTTCTCAATATACTCTGGTTGGCCTCTGTTATTTTCTCCTACCGATAGGGAACCCACTTAAGGACTCTATATGGGCTCTGGAATACCCCATAAGGGAAAGGGAGCACTGCTTCCCTTTACTTTACTGCTTCACATTACTCTTCTTCAGAACAGTGCAAAGCCATGTAAACACAATGTGCAGCAGTGGCACTTATATCAATTCCCAGATACTTTTCAGCTCAGAGCCCCTCATTGTGTTTTTCTGCCCTCTTAGCAACTACAGACTCTTTTTTTGTCTCCAGCAGGCAAAGCCATATTGGTCACCTTCGCCCCACTCTTCTTGGTTATCTCTGTTGTGACTCTTTTGGCCCTTCTTTGGGTTGCCTGGAAAACATGTCAGATCTGCCAGTATTCCTGCTGCCCGAACGAGAGCCTGCCGGACACTTTGGTAAGATAAGAAATGGTTTGGAATACTGTACTGAGGTTGTGCCTTAACACTTCCAGAAAAGGTAGATGTGCCCTGCTTTTAAAAGCCATGGGTTGAAGCTTGGCACTTATACTGTGCCTGTTACCTGGGCAGGTTATTAGAATGCATAAGAGCAGCAATCAGTCTGGCTGCAGACACATGACCATACCTTTTAAAATCACATTTCTCTCCCCACCCCCCATGAATTCTGGGCATTGTTGTTACAGGTTGCTGAGAATTGTAATTCTGTGAGGGATAAACCACATGTGGGGTAGTGGATAGGAGCGGTAGGCTCATAATCTGGGGAACCGGGTTCGTGTCTCCACTCCTCCACATGCTGGGTGACCTTGGGCCAGTCACACTTCTCTGAAGTCTCTCAGCCCCACTCACCTCACAGAGTGTTTGTTGTGGGGAAAGAAGGGAAAGGAGAATGTTAGCCGCTTTGAGACTCCTTCGAGTAGTGATAAAGCGGGATATCAAATCCAAACTCTTCTTCTCTTCTTCACATTGCCCAGAATTCTTTGTAGGGGGGAATGTTATTAGAATGTGCACATAACCTTGAAATGACAAAAGTCAAATCATTGAGGTGCTCAGATTTGTAAATGAAGGGATAATGCTGTAAGGGTTACAGGTAGCTCAGTGTGTTTAAAGCTATGCAACTATATTTGCCTTTGTGCTTGTTGAACCCAGCACTGGAGCAACTTAGTGAGCTATTAGGTAGAACCCTACCTGTGCTCTTCTCCCCTCGTAGCGCCACCATGAAGAGGGCTAGATACTCAACTTTTAAAATTAAAAAGCAGGGTGGGATATCACTTAAAGCTGGGGTGGGCAACACTGTGGCCCTTGAGAAACTGTCCAGTTTCCACTATCCCTGACCCTGACCATTGGCCATGCTGGCTGGGGCTGATGGAAGCCCATAAACAACTGGAGGAAGCCAGGTTTCTCATTTCTGCCTCAGGGAATCAGACTTACACAGGCCCTCTTATGGCTACAGCCCTGAGCACTGCTTTGAACACTGAGCTTTGCAATACTAATCCATCCCTCTGCAGTGGCGAAGTAAATGCTCTTCCATCTTTTCCCCATTACTGTATGTTTTTTCCCCCTCCTCCCCCCTCTTTTCCAGAAAGTAACAGAATCACCTGCTAGGCTACTAAATTACAGGGGAGAGGAGACGGAGAGATGTGATGAGTCAGTGCAAGTGCTACCCCCTGAAGAGCTTCTCCGCTTGTGGATTCATGAAACTCTTTAATATCACACCAAGGACACAATCTGCAAGATGAGACTGCAGTGCTGCTCTCCTTTTTGCCTCTCTGAGTAAGGCACACACACACACACAGTGCACACACACAGGTAGCTTTCCTCTCCTAACAACACAAAGACAGAAAATTGAGGATTTGCTTTCTTCAAAGGGAAAGGCACCCATTCATCCTTGTCTGACAGAGAACAGCAGCCAAGCTCATGGATAGCCACAGAGGCTGTGATCCTAGCTGCTTGTCATCATCTGCTTAGCTGAGAGTTAAAAGACCTTGGGCTGATTACAATGTGCTGGGTTTGCTTTTTAACATAAAGGTGCAGTGCTAGAAGGTGATGCAATTCAAATCCATGTTGATTTTGCGGAACAGGAGCAAGGAGCAGCAGGTTCGAATTCAGTGACGGACGGTAGCTTAGCGGTAGCAGCTAGAGCACATGTTTTGAGTCAGAAGGTTCTAAGTGCAATATCTGGCACCTCTGTTTAAAAGGATCAGTTAGAAGATGGTGTGAAAAATCCTGAATGCCAGAGGAGACAATACTGGAAAAGACTGACCTGGTACAGTGGTACCTCAGGTTACATACGCTTCAGGTTACATACACTTCAGGTTACAGATTCCGCTAACCCAGAAATAGTGCTTCAGGTTAAGAACTTTGCATCAGGATGAGAACAGAAATCGTGCTCCTGCGGCACGGCAGCAGCAGGAGGCCACGTTAGCTAAAGTGGTGCTTCAGGTTAAGAACAGTTTCAGGTTAAGTACGGACCTCCGGAACGAATTAAGTACTTAACCTGAGGTACCACTGTACAATGAAACTTCCTATGTTCCTCCTAGTCAAAGATCTCACCTGAATGAATATTTTTCACATATATTTTTCAATCATAGCCCTAAGCTACGGTTAACCTTAACTCTGGGATTTTTGTAATAAGACCGTTTCTTAAACTACAGTCTCAAGTTAGCTTATTTCTAGGGCCATCTTAAGCATATGCGGCGCCAGGGTGCAAAGATCCGCCCGCCGCCACCCCAGAGTTGCCTCAGCGCCTCACTGGCTGGCTGGCTTGCTTGCTCCCGAACTCGAGGAGCAGAGCCGCCCACAGCAGAAGAGCCCTCCGTGGTGCTCCGACCGATGGGTGGGCTCTTCCCCGGACTCCAACTCTTGGGCCCCAGACTCTTGGCCTGGCGCCCCTGAGAGCCTGGTGCCTCTGGTTAAGACGGCCCTGCTTATTTCAGCACTGTTTAACCACAGATTGTCAGGTTTGGGCAACATGTGATCAGAGGCGGAGCTAGCTGCTCCAGCACCCGCGGCGAGCGCCACCCATGGCAATGTCACCCCCACTCAGGGATGACACCCGGGCAAGCCGCACCTACTGCACACCCCTTCCTCCGCTAGTGCATGTGATTTAATTTTTAAAAATATAAGCAAAAGCTTCCAAATTCCTCCTCATGTCTGCGCTGGAAGAGAGGTGCACAAACCTGAGGTTTGCTGAGGCTCCTTCTTGTTACACTAAACTATGGCTTAGTTCCAGTTACAGATAGGTAGCCGTGTTGGTCTGCCATAGTCAAAACAAAAAAAATTCCTTCCAGTAGCACCTTAAAGACCAACTAAGTTAGTTCTTGGTATGAGCTTTCGTGTGCATGCACACTTCTTCAGATACACACGAATATCTGTATTGATATTCAGTGTGTATCTGAAGAAGTGTGCATGCACACGAAAGCTCATACCAAGAACTAACTTAGTTGGTCTTTAAGGTGCTATGGCTTAGTATTATGTTTGAACTAGCTCAATGAGAGAAGGCCCTCACTTAATGTAGGCATTTCAGAATTTTACACAGAATTCAACAACACATGGGTTGTCTGCCTTGCATTCAGGAACTACTGTGCTTTTCCAGCTTAGTTCTAACTTACTGAAAGTTGTTTACTTCCAGTGCCTAATCTGATTGGGTTAAACTTGGCCACATCTTACTTAAATGGATTAAATCACTTGCTGTGGAACTAGTTTGCTGCTTGAAAAACATTCAATTTCTGTGCCAGGTTTTAAAGTAAGACATATAACAAGTTTTGCATTATTTTGGTGGGATTTTTTTTTAACTATGCAAGGCATTGGAAGGCTTGGAAAATATTTTTAAATACTGAATTTTTTTATGTAGTTACATGTGATTACTACTTAAGTTCAGTTCAAAAAGTTACCTTACAAATGTTATGGTATCCTGAGTACTGCAACTCTGTGTAAAAGCCTATGCATTCCCAATGTTAGCCATAAAATATAGAGATATCTGGAAAGCAAAACAATGTTTTGCATGTATATTTTATAGTCCTCAGGTGTGCTATGCCAGTAATAAGGCGTGCAGGAAGATATCATGTAACACAGCAATGCTGATGCATAGGATTGGGGTGGGGACAGGGAAAAGAACACAGAGCACCTAATTATCTTGGCATGGAATTTTAATGCAGTCCCAACTCAGCCAAACAGCAAAATCTGACATAACCAGACTGTGAAGTGATGATGTTACAAAACTAGATTAGGATTGCCACATTTTCCCCTGGCAAAACCTATGTCCCTTTTAAGAGCTGAACAAAAATGTAGAAATCTAACCAAGTTCTTTACTACTTACCTATGCAAGGAAAAACTGCAGTGGATGAATTTCACATAACCTTTGTCCAGCAAAAAGACAGAAATTTATCAGTTTCAGGGAGAGGTTAAGGGAAACAGTGGTTGTGCCTCCTTACTTTCAACTCCTTGCAATTGTAGTTTCTGTAGTTAAGAAAAGAGAGGAGTAAAGTATCCTGAGCAGAACCACTGTGAGCCTTCCTCTCTAGTTTGATAGCTGGTTTTTGAAGGAATATAACTTACTGCCAACTGGGACGTGGGTGCTGCTGTGGTGTAAACCACTGAGCCTTGGGCTTGCCGATCAGAAGGTCAGCGGTTTGAATCCCCGCGACGGTGTGAGCTCCTGTTGTTCGGTCCCAGCTCCTGCCAACTGAGCAGTTCGAAAGCATGTCAAAGTGCAAGTAGATAAATAGGTACCACTCTGGCAGGAAGGTAAACGGCATTTCCGTGCGCTGCTCTGGTTTCGCTAGAAACGGTTTAGTCATGCTGGCCACATGACCCGGAAAAACTGCCTGCGGACAAACGTCAGCTCCCTGGACCAGTAAAGCGAGATCATAGCCGCAACCCTAGAGTCGTTCACAACTGAACTTAACTGTCAGGGGTCCTTTACCTTTACATTACTGGCAAAAGAAGTAGTTTACTTATTAAATTTTGTAATGATTTTTTGGAACCTGGACCTAATAAAAAACATAAGCACAGCGTATGTAGATTGTTTGTCACTGGCTAATCGTAACATGGAACATCTGTATGTAAATCTTATCTGTTTGCGTGACTGTAACATACATCTGACCTATATCACAAACACAGAAAGCATATAAAATTCAATGTGGCATTATAATGGTGTGGTCAAAGTTATTACATATACTAGAAGAGACGATATGTTTAACTTCATAGTGCTGGGAAATGTGTAGATTTTTTTTTAAATAGAAGCCCTGGCAGCAGTCTTTATCCTCTCCAACTTGTTTGAAGTCCTCAGTTTTGTTATTTCCAAGTGTTCTCTTTCACAGCAACAGTTGTGAAAAAGGCAGATTCCATCCCAGGGATCATTAAGAAAGGAGTTGCCGTTATATGGGGCAACCACAGTTGGAATACTATGTACAGTTCTGGTTGCCTCACCTCAAAAAGGATATTGTAGAGTTGGAAAACTTTCAAGGGGGTGGAGCAACTCCCCTATGAAGCATTTGGGACTTCTTAGCTTAGAGAAAATGCGAGGATTCGAGTTTACTGCATTATGATTGAAGTTTATTAAAATCATGCACGGCATGGGGAAAGTGGACCCAGAAGTTTTTCGTTATCTCATGACACCACAACCCACAATGAAGCTGAATGTTGGGAGGATTCAGATGAAAGTAAATCTTGAAGATTTCCTACAGACATCTGGTTAGCCGCTGTTGAGAACAGGATGCTGGACTAGATTACCATTAGTGTGGTTCAGCAGTATCTAATGCTTTAATATTTCCCCATCTGCTGTGGCAAATTCTGCTCCTAATTAGGCCCCCATCCCATACCCTCCAACATTTCTCTGATGAAAATAGGGACATCCTATTCCATCACAATAATTTTACTATTTATACCCTGCCCATCTGACTGGGATGTGCCAGCTACTCTGAGCGGCTTCCAACATAACAAAACATTAAACATTAAAGAACTTCCCTATACAGTGGTACCTCGGGTTACATACGCTTCAGGTTACGTATGCTTCAGGTTACAGACTCTGTTAACCCAGAAATAGTGCTTCAGGTTAAGAACTTTGCTTCAGGATGAGAACAGAAATCATGCTTCGGCGGCGCAGCAGCAGCAGGAGGCCCCATTAGCTAAAGTGGTGCTTCAGGTTAAGAACAGTTTCAGGTTAAGAAAGGACCTCCAGAACGAATTAAGTACTTAACCCAAGGTACCACTGTACAGGACTGCCTTCAAATATCTCAGGCGTTGGATAACTCCATACCTTCCAATATTTATCTGATGAAAATAGTGACATCATGGCGAAGGGGCTTGAATAACTCAGAGAAGCTATGAGCTATGCCATGCAGGGCCACCCAAGACGGACAGGTCATAGCCGCAGTTTAGACTAAATGTGATCCACCTGGAGAAGGAACTGGCAATCCACTCCAGTATTCTGCCAAGAAAACACCATGGACATAGAAAAGGAGCAGCTTTGAGAAGACAGTGTTTCCAAGGCATGTTCTAGTTCATGGGGTCACGGAGTGTCGGAGACGACTAAACAACAACAAAGGGAAAGTGGGACATTCCAGGATCAAATCAGAAACGACTTCTGTAAATTCGGTACTGTCCCTGGAAAATAGGGACACTTGGGAGGGTCTGCCAGCCATTGTTAAAATGGCGAAGAAAAAGGGGAGCCCACACTTCTGCTTGTTTGCTCAGGAGAGCAGGAGTAAATCACTGAATCTCTCACTCTAGATCGATTAAAAACCCTAATTAATGTCCATCGGCTGTAATTAAACGACTCATTACTATGTGCATTAATCGTTTTATTATCCATGTATGCCTCCTTGCGCTCACTGATATAATAATAATATAATAAAATTATAGTAATATAATAAAAATCAAATCCCAGGCTTTCCCAGGTCAAGCTTTTGCACTGTGTGTGTCCCCGTAACTGTGCCCGCTTCCAGCTCAACCTTAACCCCCGGGTGAAAAGAATAAAGAAAAACCAGCTACGAGTCGGCCTTCTCAGCACCCAGCAAAAAGAGAGAGCTCTACGCGAAATGG